ATTGAAGTCGTCTATAATATATAAAATTTTGTGTTTATTAAGTTTCTGTAAGATGTCTTAGATCTGATCATACAACTTCCCGATTTCATCGTCATATTTTCTATCTGCAGTTGGGACAAAGATTTGAAGTAAGTTAGTTTTAAATCGTTAAGTATTTATTTGGAGTAATATTATTCTATCCAAGACTGGTACGAAATTGGTCACATATTTACTCAGTTCTGATGTTACTAATACAGCTAGACCATTTTTGTGATGCGGGTCTTCTGTGCTATTACCGAAATAATATAATACACTTCCGTCCTCTTTACATGATCCTGACTCTGGATATCTCATTTCGCTGATCCGATAAGCTATCAGTTCAGCTAATCTCAACAAATTGTTCACCTTCCCGTTTGTTATTTTTGTTTGAGATTGATTCCTTTTTCTGCTTTCTACATGACATGAAACTCAATTCACTGATATAAGATTTAAATTATTCTCTACTCAATATCTGACAAAAAATCGGCTGTATATCACGACAATAATTATAAAAGGTGTTAATATTACATAACGTGAAAACATATTCCCGTTTTTTGACTTATATACACTAATAAAAATTAGAAATCCGATGTATTTTTAAAATCTAGTTAATTGCTTCCATTTAGATCCATGGGGCTCTGTTTTACAGTAAGTTTCTAAAGAATAGCAGGAGGAGTCATGACCTTTAAACTTCTTCATAATTTCTTGACGTAAACCATCGTGCTTCACTGACTGTCTGAACTAGGAAGTGAATTAGTCAAATTATTTGACTTACTTTTTTATTTTTGCTATTCATGTTTCTTGCTACGTATCACAGTAAATATAATAAAGTAAATACCAACTTTTTGGTGGATGCTCCTTGACCTTTTTACACTAGTTATATCAATGATTAGTCATATTAGTTCACAGTAAAATTGATAAAGCCGTAAATTTCCCGTTTGACCTCTTTATACTGGTTTGTTTATAAAGGAATCATAGTTTTCTGATAATGTATTGTTCTGGTACGTGAGTTCAACGAGATGGAAACAAAACAGTTTACTACATATGCAATAGTTTTAGTTTTAATTTTTTCTGTAAGTATGGCATAATTGATTTTTTAATTTATTGATAACAATAATTGATTTATTTAACAAGCTTTACCGGCCACGTAAGTCTTGATCTAGAGAATTATTACATTTGTTAGTAATTGTAGTAACTACATATTTATAACTATTTCACTTACATACATATCAATATTCACGATTTTTCCATTGTTGATTTTACCTATTTATTATTTTTTACTCCATTCTACTATTTTTAGCATTTATAAATCTTATTTCGCACTCTCCATCGTACATATTTTACGTCGTCATTGTATACATTAGTAGTATTCTACTTAGTATACAATCAAATACTGAAAATAAAATAATCGATGGAGGAAAACTCTCTCACAAATGATATAAATCCTGAGTCATCCTAATAAAAAGAAATAAAACAAAGTTTAAAAATCAATTACCAAATTGATCAATAATAATAGTACAGTGTCTTGCATGGATGATTAAATGACCTATTTGGTTAATCGTTTCATTATCAGTAGTTCTCCAAGTTCCCTTATGTATATCTTTCTGGGGAAATCATGTCCCAGCTATTACCATGTGGGCGAAAATATATTGCCTTTTATTCTAGTCTTATTCGACATATCCTATGATTAATACCTTTAAAATCAATTACACTATGTTTGACTTTGCTACTTACAATTAATCCGGTACCAAATTCCAAATATTGCAGTTATTTTTTTCCAGAATGCCTGAGCTAGTCCACCTCATTTCCTGTAAAGCAATGATATCTGCTTTGGCTTTATTCATTTCTTTTATGAGCAGAGCCGTGGCTCCAGGCTGATAAGGGCTTCTTACGTTCAACGTGCAAATTTTTAAATCAATATCCTTATTTCGTTTGCGAGTTCGTCGTGGGTTAGACAGTCCGGTTTCTTTCTTTATAGCTCTCATAACAAAAGGTTTTTACAGGGTTGGGTAGCTAACCCAACGCCAAACCCCCTTTTTGGAGGGCCATTTCAGCTGTTCTCGATCAGAAACTCAGCAGTTTCCGACCCAACTTTCCACCCAGGTTGGATACTGGATCTCCAGTTAGGTTGGGTTAAGTAAACTGAAGTTAACTCCATGTTTTCGCATTCTACCCCTTTATCCCCCTTTTATATTCATCGTTTAGCGTTTTTATCATAAATTGTAAATCGTACGAGTCGTGGACTAACATAACTTGATCGTCTGCAAAGCTAAATAAAAAATCATATTTTTGTCTTATACGTATAGATATTTCCAGTCCACTACATCACATCTCCCGTATATTTTGTTTTACCATAAATATCTTTTTTTATTTCAGAGTCAAGTTGTGTCCTTCGAAATATCCTGCTCAGAAAAAGGTTTTTTATGCTACAGGGACAACAAATTTTTTCAGTGTATCCATGATAATGGAAAATATATAATTACAGGTTCTCCTCAAGATTGTCCGAAAGGATTTCTTTGTAAAGATACTTCAAGATATGAGTGCGAGGATCCAATTTAATCATACTCTGATATGATTTGGATAGAATATTAAAAAATTATGATACGTACATCATTCCAATTAATATCGTGTTAATGTACATATGTATAAATAAATTTATTCGAAAACAATTTTAGACTTTTACTTTTCAATTTATATTGAAAATGCCAAAACAGATTTTAGGTGATAATAAGGCCGGGGGTATGGCGCACAGGTTGGCGCGGGGTTAGCGCGAACATTTCTGATAACGGGATTTTGAATGGAGGATCGAGCGGACAATATTTTCTTTATGAGAGATCTCCATGTCGAAGGTAACCGGATGCCGTCATCTCTTTTTTTGATGAAGCCGTTTTCTATAGCTTCTCGGATAGTTCTTGGTTTATAGAAGCGTATCAGGGTTAGACAATTTCCCGACACGAGTAAAGACTCTCATAAATCAGGGATCGAAAATACTTTTACCCATTACTGTGTCAGAAGTAAGAGCAGCTTTAAAGGAAATGAAGAACCATCGATCGCCTGGTGATGATAAACTCGTTATCGAGGCAATAAAGGCAGGTGGAGAAATTTTATTAAAATCAGTAAGCGAACTGTTTACTAAATGCTTACATGCGGGTACGATTCCAAAAGACTGGAACAATGCAGTAATAGTCTTGTTACACAAAAAAGGCGATATTACTAAATTAGAAAATTATCGACCCATCAGCCTCTTGACACATATGTACAAACTCTTTATGAAAATCTTAACAAAGAGGCTAACACCTAAACTTGATTTCTATCAGCCCAAAGAACAGGCAGGCTTTAGGGCAGGATATGGCACAAATGACCATTTGCATATCATAAAGAACTTAATAGAAAAGTGCATCGAGTACAACATACCACTGGTTCTTGCATTTGTCGATTACGAGAAGGCTTTTGATTCTGTAGAGTTTGAAACAATACTGGAAGCCCTAAATCAAAGCCAATAGATTACAGGTACACGACACTAATCAAAAACATCTATCAGAACGCTACATCAAGTATACGACTGCACGAAGACACAGAAAAATTCAGCTTAGGTCGAGGAGTTAGACAAGAAGACAATATTTCACCAAAATTGTTCACGGCAGCTCTAGAGTCAATATTTAAGGTTAATCAATGGCAAGATATATGCATCAATATAGATGGAGAAAGTTAAATCACCTAAAGTTTGCAGATGATGTTGTATTAATCGCAGATAACTTACATGATACAGTTTCTATGATGCATTCGCTTAAAAGTCTGTCTGAAAGAGCAGGATTAAAGATAAACTTTGAGAAAACTAAAATTATAACAAATCTCGTAATGAGTGGAAATATAACTATTGACAATAATACCATACAACAAACAGACACTTACAAATATCTGGGACACGAAATCAAAATAAGCAGAGACAATCAAACACATGAAATACAGAGGCGAATAGGTCTAACATGGGCAGCATTTGGCAAATTAAGCCATATTCTAAAAAGTTCAATTCCCATGTGTCTCAAGCGAAAGGTTTATAACCAATGTGTTTTACCTGTACAAACTTATGGAGCAGAGACTTTAACACTCACGCAAAAATCTGCGAATAAACTTAGAGTTACACAACGAGCCATGGAACGTGCAATGCTGAACGTGAGCCTTCGAGACCACATAACAAACCAACAAATCAGGCGAAGATCAGGAGTTCAAGACGTCATCGAAAGAACCACGACGCTTAAGTGGAACTGGGCAGGGCACTTAGCCAGAACACAAGATGGACGGTGGACATGACGTATTATGGAATGGAGGCCCAGAAATTATAAAAGAAGCTGAGGACGACCACCGACTAGATGGACCATGACATTAAACGTGTAGCGGGAAACTGGCTACAAGCGGCCCAGTGTAGAGAACACTGGAAAAAACTGAGGGTGGCCTATGTCCAGCAGTGGACGCGATTGGCTGATTGATGATGATGATCAGGGTTATGGTTCTGCAGTTTTCTTAATTAATTTTGTGACCTGTATGAAGATGTTAATCTAGAACTGTAATTGAATTGGAATTGCGAACAGAAATGAAATGTTCGTAAATCCTATTTTTGGATTCTACGGTTTGTTTGGCCTATATAAGATCGGGTACAGTCTGCACAAGAAATTTCAGAAACTGCGAGTTTTGCGCTAGAGGAATAAGGGGGTAATTTTTGCTGATTAGTCAATATACCCACTGTTTTTCGGAATAAGCTAAAGCAATAAATTTTTCCTTTCAGTAATAAATTAGCAATAAAGAATAGTGTTGGTCTGAGTTCGGCCCTATAAAATGGATATAAAGAAAGCTTGGATTGAATTGCATTGAAAATATTGATAGAATTTATAAAACTTTTAATACCAAATAAAGTGTAGCTGTCATAGCTGTTAGTAATGTTTGTACTAATGGATAAAGATTTTAAATTAATAAAAATACGTATTTTATAAATAATTTTATTGCATTCTCTATCAAAAAATACTGGAACTATCCGTTCTTTTTTTGAAATACGTTTTAAAAAAGATAATAATAATCTTAAAAATAGGTACAGTAATCCACAATACGGCATTAACAAAATAACAAATACCGGCAGTCCAAGGAAAAAGTGCGACTAGATCACAATCATTAATATAAATAAAATAATAAACTAATATCACAAAAATGCCTGAAAAACCATTAAGAAGCGCTTCTAGTTGGGCATATTTTCTTTTACCAGCGAAGCCTCGATATACTATGTTTTCACAGAATCTTGACAACCCATATCCAAAACCAAACAGCAAACAACTCCAGGTTATGAAGTCGTTCGACATTTTTCTTTTGGTAAGTACTAAAATAAAAAAAACATTTGATAAGTATGGTATTGATATTAAATAGAATTACCAAATTTTAACAAGAATCTAATATAACCTCCTGAGACCTGATGTCCAATTAAATGGACATTTACGTATTATATATTTTTTTCGCAAGAACTAAATTTACACCGCCTAGTCCCACAGTCCATCGTAGTGTACATATTAGTGAACCTGACAGCGCGCTGTATTGATGAGACCACATTTTAATTTAGTTAACCTCTTAATCGCAAGTGATAAACATGGCGAGCAGTTCTAGAAAAACAATTGATGGTAAGTAGCTAATTTTATTAGATTATTAACCTAAATGTTGCTTAGTCTAATAACATACGATATTATAAATATATTAATGTGATTTAATTGTCTTAGCAAACCATTTTGAGTTTGTTTTTATCTAAAATAGGGACGTCCATTTCTATGGACGTCAGGTCTTTAGACATACATAAAATATTATGTATTATTGTGCATGAAACGTCAATAAATTAATTTAAAACTACAATTGTAGCTTTAATTCCCAAATAAAATATTATATTAGACTTTTTTGTTTCAGCTGTCTTTGGTAACAAAAAATTTTTAAGACCCGAAGTAGACCATGAAACACTTCTTGAATGTCTGGAAAGTTAGAATATAGACGTTTCAGATTCTGAAAACTATGATGACGGCCTTGATCCACATAAAGAATTGTCTCAGCAATCAGATTTGGCTCAATTTGGCTCAGATGATGAACAAGACACAGAAATACCATCCGAAGATGAATTAGATAACGTGCCACTCAACGAACGAAAGAAAAAGCTTGAGAACCGAAATACATGGAATAAAATGGGTGTTTTTGTCCCTCAGCATGTAGATTTTATTGGAATTGTCGATACAGTCCACGAGAGGCAAAATTGGAAAGTTGAAAACTACGTCGGTATGTAATTTGATGATTCAGATTTTGAGAATATTTGTAATTGTACGAATATTAAATTTTTGCAAGAAAAAGGAAAAGCTTTGAACGTTAATCTAACATTACTCTCATTTAACAAACAATCACATTACACCTATTTCTACTTCATTGGATAAAATTTATCTCCTCAAGAACTTCCCTGTTTATTGTCAAACAATTACAATAGTAAAAACTGAAGTTTTCCATTCAGCAATAGAGGATAGTTTGAACCATGTTCTTCCAACCATTAATTAATAGAGTACCGGCATCATTTAATTAACTTTGTATCGAGACCTGAAGATGCTTGTAGAAAGAGAAACCGGTCGTCTAGATAGGTAAATTAAACTGATTGTGAGTAAGTCTTATTTATTATTTCTTTTACCTATTTGATAGAAAAAGGTTTGAGCTTGAATTTAGGCACTAGATGATTTTAAAAATGATATTTTTAACTTTTGTTTCTTTCGTTTTTTTTTCAGTTTTATAACTCTAAAACGAGCAACTCTAGAAAATAATTGCCAGAGACCTTTTTTATTTAGTTGATTTTTCCAATTTGTTTAAAAAAATGTTTAAATAAAATTCGGACAACTTTTTATATTGGTGATTTCTTGAATCTTATCCTGGAGTGTCTCATAAATGCGATTATGCAAAAATATTTCATGGGTATATTTTTCCGAACGAACTCGATCTTTTCGTCTTATCTATATCGGTAATTTGCCAGTTCCATAAGTTCCGGTAACGGGGAGTGTGCCGGTTTTAGATGTCGCTCCATCAAAGATTCTTGTTAAAGATTTTGAAAATTTGTAAATTGTATAATTAATGTACGTCAATAATATCTACATATAGTATATATACGGATTGAACGAAATAAATTCGGAACATACGAAATATTATGTATTTCGGCTCAATTCTGCTGTAGGTGGTTGACCAACAAAAGGTTGTCAAATAATTATATTATAAAAATCCAATACTTCTGAAATCATAAAAATTGAAAGCTACTTATGAATCTACGATTTTATTATGCTGTCAAACCACTTATTGTCCAGGAAATGAAACATTTTACCTCGCAATTTTTTCGTCCTACGTGGATTGACTTGAAATTTTAACAGAAGGTAGGTAATAGACAAGGATTAAAATCTATATCGAACCAAAGTGCGTCAAAGCCTTGGGGGTGGTTACCACCCCAACTCGAGGGTGAAAATTTTTTTTACGTTTTAACCACAGGTTTCGATTAAAAAAGTGATTATAAACAAAAAATGTTCTATACATTTTTTTTTGTAAAACTGATATTTTTCAAGTTATTCGCGATTGAAAGTAACAACTTTTAGACGAAAAAATCGACGTTTTTAATCGATTTTTCGCGAATACCTCGAAAATGTGCATTTTATCAAAAAAATTGTAGAGAACAAATTTGTAGCTTTTAAAAAGACAAATACAATTCATTTTTTAAAATGTTTTCGCAATATAACAGGAACCGAAATACGGCCTAGCAATGTTCAGTGGTTTTCTTCAAATGCCAAATTTGAAAGATTTAAAGTCAAATATCGGGAAAACGATGCATTTTTGGAAGAAAACTCACAGAACCTTTTTTAAAGAGCATAAATAGACCTATCATAAAAAAAGAATCTACAAAACCAGTATATTAGGTAGTGTGGCGTTATACATTCGAAATTTTAAGCGTTCTTATTTTGAAATCCCATACAACAGAATAAAACATCTGCTCATATGTCTATGGCTTGGCAATGATAATATCAGAGCAACAGATTGGGGATGGTATTCCAAAGATGGTTTGTTATTACCCGTACGCATGAACAAACAACCTGCACCCGAAGAACTTTTGAAAATTATTTTTTTTGCCAATGCAAAAAAGGATGCGGCGTTTCATGTGGGTGCAGAAAAGTTGGTTTATACTGTAACTCTACTTGTTCTGGGTGCTCAGGTGAAGGGTGCAATAATAGTCCACCAATAATTGAAGAAGATAAGGATGACATAGATTACGATGAAGATGTAATTGATGACGAATAAAATTAATATTATAATTGTTTTACCTATAAATATAAATATTTTCAACTATTTATGTAAATGTATAAGAATATATGGTGCCTTTTTATGTTGATAGATTTTTTTGTATTTAATTATACTTTTTTCAATTTATATCTATTAAATTAGTTTATAAAAACTGCAATTTTGTAAAGGGTGATTTTCAAAAGTTGAAAGGTTGCAAAATTTTGGCAAAAAATTGTTTTCACCTATAACACTCATAACAATTGATTTTTAAGGGTTGAAAATGTATGAAATTGTTGAAAATGTATAAAGTTGAAATATGATGGAACTTTATTCAAAAGCACGAAACTATCATTATTTAATTAATTCAAGCCAAATTTTACCCATATTCAGGTTTAATAGGTTATTTTATAATTTTTGACAACTAGGGGTAGTTTTCACCCCTAAGAACAATCAGGGTTCGTCGACATGACATAAACTATAAAGCAGTGGATGAATTGAGCTTAAATCCACATTTTTATCCAAATCGATCCAAGGCGAAATCATTTTTTTAGAATTAGTAATTTTTTTACATAAATCTCTAACAAAGGTTACTTTCTAAGAGTTGAAATATGATGGAACTCTATTCTATAATATGTTATTTTATAATTTTTGACAATTAGGGGTAGTTTTCACCCCTAAAACCCTTCAGCGCACTTCGGTTCGATATAGATTTTGATCCTTGGGCTATTACCTACCTTCTGTTAAAATTTCAACTCAATCTATGCAGGACTAAAAAAATTGGGAAGTTTTAACTTTTTTCGAGCTTCATTTCCTGAACTATTATCGCTTCCTTTACGCAATCAACATTGTTGCGAGACAGATAGTTAAACGATATTTTATACAATGTCTATACCCAGGTATGGATTTATTTTTGTCCAAGTTTTATATTGGTCCACTATTTCAAATGCAGTTCAAACAGACATATATTAAATTGTATGATCCGTTTTAAATTCGTTTAATCTGTATATTGTATATATTGCTACGTTCCTATTTGAAATCAAAAATAAAATAAAAATTGCATCTTCATAGACCACGATTATGTAAATTTTCAATGTTCTGTATATGATAAAATTTATAAAAATAATTATAGCTAGTTTTAAGAAAGTGTGTTCGCCAATATATGAATGTTTGGTAAGACATCACAACAATAAATGATTATTGAGATAGCTATTCATAGGGTGAAAAATCCAGTAACCCATATATATTTCAAAGAGCGATTATTGTATCTGTAAATATTCTTTTGTAATAGTTTCTTAAAAATAGATAACACAATTTTTTGAGTTACACAAGTTTTTACACAAGTGTAAAATTAAGTTCTGGTTATAAAGATATAAGGAATTTTATTTATTCTTGGAACTCCAGAAAGAACAAGCAAATACGAAAGTTTGAGAATTTCTTTAGAATTACAAGAGGGGTTGAATTTGGTAAATTATATGGTATGGTTGAAAGTTTTTTTTATTTGATGAAAAAAAATAATGGAAGGGGAGAACGAGCCGATGTCTAGAATGAATGAGTACATTTTGAAAGTTCTGTTGGTTCGATCGAAAGGAGAAATCCAATTTTAAAGACCGTGTGTTGGAAAATTATCGCAGGTTGTGTAAAAGTTACAAGTGTTATTAGCAGAATAGTGGAACGGGTGATAGACCAAGCAGAGAGGTTCTTTTGAAAACTCCTTGGAGTATGATGTGTCCAGTTCTGTAAGTAACGAGGAAAAGTGTGTTTGAATTTGTGGCACTGAGTCGATAAAGGAGATCCTTGGGTCTTAAAAAGTAGAAGTGATTCAAAAAAAGTAGAGAATTGCACCAGGATAAGATAGGAACGAGCACTGTGGGAAGCAGTGAACAAGAACGAGGGCAGAATTTGCAGAGTAGCAGAAACACATTGTTGGGGAACGTGGACGAGTTCTTTTGGTTACAACACAATCCAGGAAGGAAAAATTTTACGTGTTCAGACATTGTCCATTTATCAGCAAAGGTCAGTCATTTTCTTTTGTGACATGAATGTACGGGTTTTTTGTATTAAATAGCATATTGCATATTAAATTTCAAAACATTTCATTATTATAAAATTATCCAAATTCAATCAGATTTGTTTGTTATAAATTGTTAAAGTCGGTTTTGTTACAAAGGAGACAATCTGTATATCGCGGTTGTTCAATTGGGGAATAAAAAAGATAGTAATTATGGCTCTATAGTGATCCCTATTGAGTGTAATGTTCTAACCAGCCTCGTTTTTAAAGAAGTGCGTTCCAATGATTCCGCCAGACCATAAAGCACACCAAACAGTCAGTTTTTCTGGATATAATGATTTCTCAACATACATTTAAGGATTATCTTAACTTTAAATGGGACAGTTTTGTTTCTGATGTAGCTATTCAACCAAAAGTAAGCTTCATAGCTAAACAAAATTCGAATCTACGAATCTACGCCTTGGTAGGTGATGATGTACCTTCAATTCTTACATGAGTTAGATTTTTTTAGCGCGCAAAGCAAGATGTTTCCGCAAAATCATCCGTAAAGTTAATAGACACGTATACAACTACTGTACATGATGGCGGATAGACTGATTCGCGTCTTTCTGTACTTCCTGTACTTCCTGTAGCAGACACAATTTTCAAAATAAATTTGTACAATTTGGAAGCGTTGTTCAGGCGTCAAGTCTATTTATGCTGAAATGACAAACTCAACTTAACATAAATCACTTGACAGCTATCAAAATGGCCGAAGGTTAAAAAAGTGTTACCAACTTACATTTCTATGCCTCAAAATATACCCTTTATAAAAAAAGAACAAATACTTACGTAGCATACTGCAACTAGATAATGTCAGTCCAACTATGAACGTTGCTCTCAATTTGGTAGCAGAAAATTTAATCAGTACAGGCAACAGCACAAGTGACAGGCACCAAGAAAAAGCTATATATGACAACAAAACAGCCATATCTTCTTTTCTATAACCATCATTTTTCTGGAGCGAAATGTACGGGGTAAGAGTTATAAAAAAGTTATAACTTACAGCGATGGATACTTTGGAAAACAATATTGGGTAAAAATGCAAATCGCTGAGGCTTCTAAATAACGGATTAAATAAAAAGTCTATAAAAAAGTCCTTTAATGACCTGAATCTCCTCCTCCATAAAAATATTGTATATGGAGAACAAGCACAACATGATTTTTTCTTAACCAAATCAACGTCTTTTAAAAATTTGTTCTGTTTTTCATTATAATTTGGAATATACTCAATATTATTTATGGGTTCAGGCTTAAGAACTACTTCAGTCAAAACTACAGCCTCTTTAACACTTTCTCTTCTTTCTGTTCTATTTATTTCTTCCAACGCAGTACTTATTCTGCTTAATCGCTTGGGATCTATAACGTTAATGTTTGTTTCTTCAACTTCATCTATTTCTTCAGGTATCTGCGGTAAAATACTAACGCCAGCATTGCTATAGTACAACTGGACAGTAGTTGGTGTTAAAGTTGGTAAATATCCCTCAGTAATTCTATCGGTAAAAGCCATGTTTTCTTCTTGCATGAGTAAATCATCCGATTCATCATTGTCTTCTTCGCTCTCTGTTTCATCGCAAGAACTGTCTTCTTTAACAGAGAAAGATTCGCTACGCTTTATATCTGAAGTATTCCCGGAGGAAGTGAAGACTTTCATTTCTTTCATTTGCTGAGAAAATCTACAAGAAAAATAATTTGATTAATGTTTTATACAAATACATATTTCTGTTGTACAATGAAAACATGTTTTCATTATAGATGAATATTTTGATTTTGATTTAGATATTTTGTTTTTTCTTGACTAATTTAAAAATGAGGGGTGTAGAGGTTGTTTATAGAGGTAGCACCTTTTATCCGAACGACCACTTCAAGCGTCATAAACGGGGGATGGTTCTTGATAACTGGTCCTCATAAGACAACTAACTCTCACTGATGGCTCCAGGTGCTACACCCCGGGCAACTGCATTGGTCTGCAGACTAAACTAAGTGAGGGTACTCAGATATGACGAGAATTTCACTGAGTGATTGCCGGTATAAGCAATCTCCCACTTACCGATCAACGGCTTCGGGCGGATGAGTTAGTAAGTGGTAGTGGACACTCTCTTGTCCTGGGGTTGAGAAATCGGCCTCGAAGGCGGATGAACAAAAACAAACTGTCAACGGCATAAGAATGTAGAAGGCAAGGGCAAACCACCTTAAAGAGTCTACACAGATATCGTAGTACAATTGTCATAGTTTTACAAAAAAGTAACTCCGTTACTGATCATGGATATCGAAGGCCAAGATCAGGCAGAGTTGATATCAAACGAAATCCCTGTGAAATACCCATTAGTAACACATTGTCCAATAAGAAGACTAAAATCGACAGAAAGTGTATGAAGATAGGCACGTGGAATGTTAAGTCAATATACCAAGCAGGTAAAATCCATAATGTCATTCAGGAATTGGAAAGACTTGTCATAAAAATATTAGGACTAAGTGAGACCATATGGCCCAATTCAGGTGACATATCAGTGGGCCAAACAAATATATAGTACTGTAGTAATGACAATGACGCAAATCACTGGAACGGAGTGCGATATTAGTTGACAAAACTACCCAGAAATTTGTAACTGGCTTCTTACTCATCTTGGATAGAGTTATGATGGTAACTAAAAATAGCTCAATCTAGAATCAAATTGAGATGCTATGTTTTCTCTGTGTTGTTGTACGGGGCGAAGGCATGGACGCTTACAGACACCACTATTAAAAAACTTTAAGCATTTGAGATGTGGCTTTATAGAAGAATGCTGAGAATATCATGGACAGCAAGGATCACGAACAAGGAAGTTCTAGGAAAAATGAAGAAGGAACCAGAGATTGTGTTTACGATCAAACGCATAAAATTGCAATATCTGGTACACGTTATGAGAAATCAGCACCGTTACTCCCTGCTACAGTCTATATTGTAAGGTAAAGTCAAAGGTAAGCGAGGACCCGGTAGAAGGAGAATATCATGGCTGCGGAATTTAAGAACATGGTTTAAGAAAACCTCAACGGAGCTGTTTCGAGCCGCAGCGAGCAAGGTTATGATTGCCAATATGATTTCCAACATCCGAAACGGATAGGAACCAGAAGAAGAAGAAGAATCAATATAATTCAAGTATATGCTTCCACAGTAGAAAAGTCGGATGAAGAGCTCGAACAGTTTTATAATGAATTACAACAAGCTTTAGAAGTAACCAAGTCTAGAGGCGTTACAAGTCATGGGAGATCTAAATGAAAAAATCGGTAGAGGACGTCAAGGTGTCAAGGAATCAATACTTATTATGATCTGCCGCCTAGGAGACGCTATATATGGAAATATCCAGCAGATAACCAACATAACGTCATCTGAAACCAAATTGACTACCTTCCCATCTGCAAACGATACCGAAATTCCATAAAATCAGTAAAATCATACCCCGGAGATGATGTGAGGTCAGATCACAATCCAGTTGTAGGAAGGTTTAAAATTAATCTAAAAAAGCTTGTGGCTTAAACTAAAGTAGAGAGGATACAAGTATCCCGTTTGAGAGATCCATTAACAAAAGAGCAAGTCAAACTAAAAATTAAAGAAGAGCTCACCAAAATAGGAATTATTCCTAGTGAAGATGTGAACAGGAAATGCCATTTGTTAAAGGATGCTCTTATACGCACATGTGAGACAACACTAACAGCTAAGTTGATCAAGAACAAAAATGAATGGATTACCAATGGATGACCGATGAGATTTTGGATCTCATGGAAGCAAGTAGATCTTGACATATTCGATCAATAACATGATATGGCAGTGAACCATGCTTCCTGAAAGAAACATCCAAAAGCAAACTCGACACATTCGAAAGGAAAGTACTGAGGAGAATACTAGGATGTGTAAGAGAAAACGAAATCTTTAGAAGTCGATACAACAACGAGCTTTATCAACTTTATAAGGAAGCACCACTATCAGATTTTATTAGAATACAAAGATTGCAATGGGTCGAACATGTGATAAGAATGGTAGAAGATATGCTACCAAAAGCCTGAATAAGAGTACTGAATGCTGGAATGCATGAAAAGAGATTGGTTGCAAAGCCAAGAAAGCGCGGGAAAGACAAAGTAAACAGCGACGCACAAGCCCTTTTAGGAATTAGGAAGTGTATGGAGATCAGCCACAGATAAGCAAGGGTGGAGGCAAAAAATAAAGGAGGCTAAGGCTCAATTTGGGCTTTAGTGCCGTAAAAGAGAGAGAGAGAGAACTTGTGTTGAAGTGAGGATTCCATTAATAATACAGTATATAGAGTGTTGTACATAAAAAGCCAAAGTGACTATTGATATAAGAACAATGGTAAATCTGGCAACATTGCAATCATCAATGCTGTAATCGCCATATTGCAGAATCAGCGTATCCCGATTTTTGTACATTTTAGACCGTCCTTTTAAGAGATAATTAGGCAAAATTAATGGGAAAAACCCCGTAATTGGCTGTATACCATCGTTTAAAAAACACAGAAGTTAAAACACTTCACAATTGTGTATTTTGGTATAAAAACATACAAGTACTTTAAAACTTTTTAAAAAAGTGTCGTCAACATTTAAAATTCTGGCAGAACGTTTTCAATCTATACAGATCATCTTCAGTGCCTTTTGTATTTGGTGCTAACAATAAGGTGTCTATAAGTCTTCCATGTGTGGATTTACAAAATATCACATTTTATATTTAATAATGTTGAGACTCTAGGTCGATGACAATGGAATTGTTTTTAAAATTAAAATTTACTTTAGGGACTACATGTCTCTTAAGCTCGAATACTTGCACGTGGTACTTGTCAGTTGAAACGACGACACGGTCGTTTGGACACGTCGTTGAAACGACGACCTTAAGCTAAAGCTATTCGAGCTTAAGAGACATGTAGTCCTAAAGTAAATTTTAATTTTAAAAACAATTCCATTGTCATCGACCTAGAGTCTCAACATTATTAAATGTAAAAGGTGATATTCTGTAAATCCACACATGGAAGTCTTATAGACACCTTATTGTTAGCACCAAATACAAAAGGCACTGAATATCATCTGTATAGATTGAAAACGTTCTGCCAGAATTTTAAATGTTGACGACACTTTTTTAAAAAGTTTTTAAGTACTTGTATGTTTTTGTACCAAAATACACAATTGTGAAGTGTTTTAACTTCTGTGTTTGTTAGATAATTAGGCGTTTCCTGACATTTGGCCCACTCTGTATACTATGTAACCTAATATAGGCCACAGTTTACCTGACCTCTTGGTATATAGTATTCAGTTTATTAATGACATAATGCAAGTATTATTTCTTCTAGTCAATATCGATTTGTGTGCATTAAATTAACTTAAAATACCATACTTACATTGGAAGAGTTTGGTAACGGTTATACCCAGGCATATTCTCAGGATCAACTTTGGGCAGTCTTATAATCAGAGTAGCAGGAATGATGTTTAGAATGATAGCTGCGTGAATCATAGAAACATACTGTATTTTGTAATTACCAATAAGAAGCAGAACAACATGTGGCATGACCAACAAGCTGATCGCTCTAGCAGACTGTATGTTACCTTCGAATGATCTTTCTGTACTCTTGTATCTTCTTCGTGCTATATGCCTGAGATGATTGTAGATTATATTGGAAAATGCGCCTAAAATTAAATTTAACAGTAATCACTAAATAAATCATTATTGTTTCAATATTATATTAGCAGTTTTCCTTTTGACATGTGTTATCGCAAAAATATCTAAAACTAAAATCTGAAGAGTCAAACATGATCAACAAATGACAGTAAGTAACAAGAGTGTTTCAGATTCCGGTATCATTGAGCCGAGCTTTTGACATACTATTTGATTTCTTCTTCAGGGCTTCTGAAGTCTCAGTCTCCCGAGCTCCCAGATACTACTACACTGATCACTAACCAATGGATTACTGATACTGGGAACAAAGGACGGTTCGTTTATACCGTGGATGGTGATATGGTTTGGGTGGAAATTGGCGTGGGGGTTAGCTTCACGATTGGCGAGGGAATTGGCGCAGGGGTTGGCGCGGTGGTTGGCGTGAACATTTCTGACGGTATGGTTATGATTGGCTGGTAAAGCGGTTGATATTTTCTTTATGAAAGGTCGGCATGTCGAAGGCCGTATGCCGTCATCTGTTTCTCTTCTAGGATAATTCTTGGTTTTATAGAAGTGGATGAGGGCTATGGTTCTGGAGTTTTCAAAATCAATTTCTGACCTGTGTGAAGATGGTGTTGACCTAGAGCTGAAATTGAATCGGAATAACGAACAGAAATATAATGTTCATAAATCCTATTTTGGATTCTACGGCTCGTTTGGCATATATAGGATTAGGTTCAGTCTTCACAAAAAATTTCATAAGCTCCGTGTTGTTTATTTGGAATGTTGTCTTTGACTGTTCGGACAAGAGATAAAAAATTTTGTTGAGGGGTAAATATTGTCTTTATTCCTCTTGATTTAAGAATCTTGTCGATTTTGTCATCATCCAGCCGAATTTTCACATCCATTGTTGGATATAGGCCTCCTCCAAACGTCTCCAGTTCTCTCTATCTCTAGCTGCTGCAATCCAGTTTGTTTCTATTCTCTTTAGGTCGTCGGTTTATCGGGTGGGTGGTCTGCCTCGATTTCACTTGTTGGCTCTTGGTCTCCACTCCAATAATCTCTTCGTCCATCTTCCGTCTTCCATTCTAGTAACATGTCCAGCCCACCTCCACTTTTGTTTATTGATTCGCAGTATAATATCGTCTACGCCAGTTCGTCGACGTATCTCCTCATTTCTTACGCGATCTTTCAAGGTCAGGCCCAGCATTGATCTCTCCATTCGCCTTTGTGTTACCCTCAGTTTTTCGGCAGTAGCTTTCGTTAAAGTTAAGGTCTCTGCTCCGTAGGTCAAGACTGGTAAGATGCATTGGTTAAATGCCTTCCTTTTCAGGTGAATTGGGATATTTGTTTTAAAAATGTCTCTCATCCGTCCATATGCCGCCCATCCCAACGTGATTCGTCTATTTAGCTCGCAGGTTTGGTTGTCTCTGGTTATTCTAATTTCATGACCCAAGTATGGGTATTTATCGATTAATTCTACCTTGTTGTTATTGATCTGTATCTCTTCGCTGGGAACCATATTGGTCATCATTTTGGTTTTCTCGAAATTTATCTCCAGCCCAGTTTCTTGTAGTATGTCAGTTCAGTTCTTGGAGCATGTCTTTGATCTCTCCCAGATTATCTGACAGAAGCACGATATCGTCCGCAAAACGTAGATGGTTTAATCTTTCTCCATCGATGGATATTCCTTTCTGTTGCCATGTTAGTCTTTTAAATGCATACTCAAGAACGGTAATGAACAGCTTTGGTGACATGGTATCACCTTGCCTGACTCCTCTTTTTATCTTTATTTTATTAGTTGCAGAATATAGACTTATGGTTGTTGTGGCATTTTCATATATATTTTTAATTATATTACAATACCTGTGGTCGATCCTGCAATCTTGTAGTGCTCTTAAGATGGACGGTAGTTCCACTGTATCAAACGCCTTTTTAAAGTCTACAAATATCAATGCCAAGGGACGTATTCGTTAGTTTTTTCTATTAGGGTTTTTAGGCACTGCAGGTGATCGTTTGTGCCATAATTAGGGCGGAAACCAGCTTGTTCCCGAGGTTGGTAAAAATCCAGCTTTGTCTCTAATCTATTCGTTATTATTCGGGTGTATAATTTATAAAGATGGTTAAGGAGACTGATTGGTCTGTATCTTTCCAGGTCTGCTATATCTCCCTTCTTGTGTAAGAGTACAGTTATTGAATTATTCCACTTTGTTGGGATATTTTGATTCCATAGGCATAGATTAAAGAGCTTTTGAGTTTTGGCTATCAGTACTGAGCCTCCTATTTTTATCGCTTCCGTGACGACACCGTCCTCCCCCGGAGCTTTGTTATTCTTCATCTTTTTTAGAGCTTTGTAAATTTCGTCCACGGAGATTTCTGGAATATCTTCGGAACCCTGATTTTGGACCTTCCTCTGTTGATATTCGACTATATCTAGAGTCGATTGGTTGCTATATAATGTCTCATAGAATGATTCCACAATTTGTAACAAATGTTCTCTGTTTGATGTGATGTTGCCATTTCTATCCTTGAGTTTGACTATTTGTTTATTTCAATTTGTGAGTTTGCGTCTCATTATTTTCATACTCTTATTTTCCTCAATGGTTTTGATGATTTTCTCATCTTTGTATTTTCTTAAGTCTTTTCTGATTTCTCTTGATACTTCCTTGTTCATTCTATTTATATCGTCGTTACTAGAGTTTTCGTCGCTTCTCAGTATTCTTCTTTGTTCCATTTTTTTCTGTGTTTCCAGACTAATTTTTTCTTCCTTCACGCTTTTTGGGCAGCATTTCTTTTGAGCTTCTGTTATTGCTTCTACTATTATGTCAATTAGAATGTTAATATCATTTGTTGATGATTTTTCTTGAAGGAATTTACCGATATGATCTTGGTATTCATGGTTGCAATTTTGAGAACTGTTTGTTTTTTAAAGCATGCTCTTGTCAAATTTGTGTCCCCCCCCCCCCAGAATCCTTGGGACAGACTGATCAGTGTGAGAGGGTCTACTCACCTGGGGTAGTTTCCGTTTTGTTTTAAAATTTGACATTTGTAAGGGTTTTTGGCTAAGTTCAATGCCACGCGAGCCACTGCGTGTTGGCAAGGTTTCCGTTTCAGCCGCCCACTCTGGGAACAGACGCTGTTTGCAGCCGCCCACTGTGGGTCAGACGCCGCTGTTGTCGCAGTATCACAGCCGCTTAACTCATAATGTGAGTGACGCCTGTGAGTATCTGGAATTAGGCCTACAGGATTTTTACTTCCCATAGCCTTAAATCCAGTAATGACATTACTGCTGCCTAATGTCGTATCCTCAGTTTATCCGCGGGTACTTATTTGGCAATGCCTTATTCGTACCTGATCTGCATATCTGCAGGAACTTTCCCTATCAGCCATATGGGACGTGCCGTGTCGAGGTTGGGGACATCCCCCGTCCAGTCTGTCTTCCGTGGAGTACAGAAGAGCCCCTACTCAGTTCAGAGCTCCTCCTCCACGAAAGCTAAGACCAGCACGGCGATTTTGTCAGTGACACCTTTAATGTAAGGAAGAAAAGCTTTTGTATGATGAGGTTCTATCTTTGGGTTAAAATTGAGTAAAAGATTGATTCTGTGGATGCTTCTATTGATGTGATTTTCGCGGTAACCGTTTTGGATGATGGCTTGTTTTAAACTAGAGGCTCATGTCCGGTAAGAAAACCGTATTAGCACAAATCCGTCCAGTATACATTTTGCCTTGTGTTTGATGCTTTTCTGGCAAATGCATCAGCTCTTTCATTGCCCTGTATTCTCGGTGACCTGTAAACCATACGTTGTGAGAATCTTATGTTCGACCAGCCTCTCGGGATCCTCTTGGCATTACCTCACTAGCCTTAAGTCCACTTACTCTTTAAAACAATATATTAGTTAAAATCTAATAAACTTACCACCAAATATTCCATATATAATAAAATGAGGAGGAATAACGACTCCGGCTGCCAGTAATAAAGTACATACTGTTATTATTATTTTGTACGGAAAGCACTGCCTTTGATCTAGCTGATTTATTAAAAAATTTGACCATGGTGCTACAATAAAGAAAAAGAATGGATTTGCTATAATAATACATTTTTCCGAATAAATTTAAATCAAGTAAGTTCGAACTTGGAAGTTATAGCTATTTATTTAATGTTGTTATTATTTGGGCAATTGTATATATATATATATATATATATATATATATATATATATATATATATATATATATATATTATATATATATATATATATATATATATATATATATATATATATATATATATATATATATATATATATATATTATATATATATATATATATATATATATATATATAAATATATATATATATATATATATATATATATATATACGGTAGAACTCCAATTATCCGAACTCCGACTATCCGAATCGCCGATTATCCGAATCACTTTCAGAAAAAATCAGAAAATTGTCCAAAGTCCGCGGCGTCAGTGTATGCACAACACGTGCTATGAGTCACGGCGCACCTGTCATTGTTTGTTCAGTTACATTAGTCAGTGTGCTATTGACCTTGCTCGAAAACGCTACTCTTTCGCTACGGCTTACGTTTGTATTGTTTTTTACCATGGCTTCGAAAAGAAAACGTGTTGTGCTATCGTTAGCGGACAAACTGAAAATTATAGAGCAACTCGATAAAGGTGTAACGGGTAAGAAGTTGTCTGAGATTTATGGTGTTGGACAAGCAATAATTTGTGAAATTTAAAAGAGTAAGTCAACACTTTTAAACTTTGTTTCGGTGCTTGAAAATGAAGATGGAAGTTCCTCCAGGAAAACAATGAAGACAGCAACCAACAAAAATTTGGAAGATGCCGTGTTTAAATGGTTTTTGCAGCAACGTTCTATGGGAAATCCGATTTCAGGCCCAATCCTTTGTGAAAAAGCCAAAATCTTAGCAGAAAAGCTTGGTTATTCATCTTTTAAGGCTAGTAACGGCTGGCTAAGGAACTTTAAATTCAGGCATGGTGTACGCGAGTTAGATTTGGCTGGTGAGAAGCTTTCAGCGGACTCTGCAGCTGCTGAAAGTTTTATTGAAAAATTTAAAACTGCAGCAGAATCCTATGATCCGGAGTTTGTTTATAATGCCGATGAAACTGGCCTTGTTTGGAAAGCATTACCAAAACCACTTTGGCTTCTAAAAGGGAATCTAGTGCCCCTGGACATAAGGTCAGTAAAGAACGTGTTACAGTGCTTAACTGTGCCAACTCCACTGGAAATCATAAACTACCACTTCTTTTGATAGGAAAATCAAAAAATCCAAGAGCATTTAAAAACGTAAAAAAAACTTCCACTCTTCTACAAAAGTCAACCCAAGGCCTGGATGACTGCAGCTTTGTTTACCGAATGGTATGATGAAGTGTTTATTCCTGAAGTGAAAAAGCACCAAAAATCGGTGGGAAAAGAAGGCAGTAAGGTGCTTTTAATTGTTGATAACGCACCCACTCATCCTACAGCAGAACTGTTGGAAAGAGAGAATGGGCAGTTTAAAATGACGTTTTTGCCTCCCAATGTTACAAGTTTGCTGCAACCCATGGACCAGTCTGTTATTGAAACAATGAAGCGCCATTACAACAGGCAACTGCTGAGAAAACTGCTGATCGAAGGTGCTGAAGATGAAGAATTGGTTTTGGCAAATCATAGCAAAATAAATTTAAAGGACTGCTGTTACATGGTAGCGGAAGCTTGGAGTTTGGTTACGGCAGTGACGCTAAGACGTGCGTGGAATAAACTGAAAGGCCTACCGTCTGAGAAGAACAAAAAAAAAGAAAATGAGAAACAAGAAAATGGAGAGGATGAAGATGATGAAGATGCGTTGCCACTAGAGGAAATGAGAAAAATGATTGTAAAAATTCCTGGTTGTACAGAAGTAAGTGCTGAAGATGTAGGAGAGTGGATGGCTTGTGACACGTCTGACCCTGGTTTTCAAATTCTCAATGACGATGAAATTGTTGAAAGTGTAAGAGAAGATGTTGAAGTGGAAGTGGAAGAAGAACTTTCTGCTGATGTTGAAGTAGACGCTGGACCATCAGCTAGTGAAGCATTTGCCGGCCTCGAGACTGCTTTGAATTGGATGGAGCGTCAGCCCGAGTGTGACCACTTGCAACTGCTCACCGTCAAGCGGATGCGTGACCTGGCTGCCCGAAAACGGATGAAGAACGCAAAACAGCTTACATTGACGGAGATGTTTAAAAGACAATGATTTTTATTTCTAAACTTGTACGTATGTATGTATGTATGTACATATGTACATTTTATTTACATTTAAAACATGTGAAAATATCATGTTTCTTTCATTTTATTCAATTAAAAAATAGTGCAATATCAAAACGTAGCTTTTTTTCTCTCCAAAGGCAATTTTTATTAAAAAACTCCGATTATCCGAATAATTTGATTATCCGAATGGGTCCCGGTCCCCATTAATTCGGATAATTGGAGTTCTACTGTATATATATATATATATATATATATATATATATATATATATATATATATATATATGGCATTAATTTGGCATGGTACTGCAATTTAAGCGTTATTTTAATTTATATAAAGACTGCAACCTGCTTTAGTTATAAGATTACAAACTACAATGAGTTCGCAAGAGAATGTTGAGTATGTAATAAATACATATTAACTAATAGTTAAAATTAGCATGTATTTGTTTATAATCTTTTATGAGCAATTAATAAAAATATTTTTGAAACTTATTTTATTTAAATAATAATATTTTAGGGACGGTATAACTTTTTTGAAGATTTTATTGAATATACAGGGTGAGTCATAACTATTGGGACATAGACTAAGGACAGGTTAGTTGGACCAAAATATTAGTCTATTGAGCCAAATATGCCTTAATAAAATGTTGTTGAGAAAAAAGATACAGGGTGTCAAAGTGAAAATTTAAAATTTTATTTTTGGCTATAACTTTCATGTTTGTAAACATTTATGTATAAAAATTTACAGCTGGCTACTATTAAATATCAGAAATTATAATTTGATGCATACTTTAATATATCTAATAGAGGGCGGGACATATGCCACATACGTGGCATACTTTTACACTTAACTTTTTTGTTCTTCAAGTTATTGGTATTCTTGATAAAAACTATTACAGATACATTATTTAAACAAAAAAAGGTATACGTGTTAAAACTTCAAAACTTAACAGTTTTCGAGATAATCGCATTTTACAAATCAACTACTTAATTCTGATTTAATGCAATTACTCCAGGCAATGAAAGAAAAATAGATAAAAACATCAATTCTTCTGAATTTTGTTATAAAATACCTTTAATAAAGTCAATTGTTAACGAAATATTAAATAAAATAAATATATCAGCAGGATAAATAATAATAGGATTTGATAAAATAACAGAATAATTGGATTTTACATCAAACATTTTACGTTTTGTATTAAATTAAAGTCATAATCAAATCATTTTATTTACAAACCAAATTAAAAAATAGTTAAACTAAATAACATTAAACTTTTTATCAAAGTCAGTGTTCGATATGTCCACCATTTTCTTTAATTCATTTGTCAATACATTCCATAAAATATCGTCTCATATTAAATAGCATCATTGGTTCTAAAGAAACTGCTGCAGTATTTATTATAGTTGTTTTAAGTATAATAATTAGTAATTTTTTGAAATTTTTATGAATTAAATAATTATTATCATCTCACCACAAGAATATGACTACCACGAACAATCCAACGTTCAGGAAAGTGTATTTAAATACTGTCTCACTCCGCTTTCTCTGTAATGTAATGGTGTACCATATTGTACAAACCTCATATTTCGCCTTAAGTTTGATGACAATTCTTCCAATAAATTAATAAAATCATTTTATAAAAAATGTAGATAAATCTCACCATTTAAATTGAAAGGTAATTCGCATATCTGTAAAATATCATTCAAAATTCATATTTAAAATTCAATCCCATGGTTTGGAACCATTGATAATTATTTTTTTCGGATATGCGAATTACCTTGCAATTTAAATGTCGAGATTGATTTACATTTTTAATAAAATGATTTTATTGATTTATTGGAAGAATTGTTATCAAACTTAAGGCAAAATATGTGGTTTCTACAAGATGGCACACCATTACATTACAGTGAAAGCGGAGTAAGACAGTATTTAAATACACTTTCCTGAACGTTGGATTGTTCGTGGTAATCATATTCTTGTGGTGAGATAATAATAATTGTTTAATTCATAAAAATTTCAAAAAATTACTAATTATTATACTTAAAACAACTATAATAAATACTGCAGCAGGTTCTTTAGAACCAATGATGCTATTTAATATGAGATGATATTTTATGGAATGTATTGACAAATGAATTAAAAAAAATGGTAGACATATCAAACACTTACTTTGACAAAAAGTTTAATGTTATTTAGTTTACCTATTTTTAAATTTGGTTTGTAAATAAAATGTTTTGATTATGACTTTAATTTAATACAAAACGTGAAATGTTTGATGTAAAATCCAATTATTCTGTTATTTTATCAAATCCTATTATTAATTATCCTGCTGGTATATTTATTTTATTTAATATTTCGTTAACTATTGACTTTATTAAAGGTATTTTATAACAAAATTCAGAAGTATTAATGTTTTTATCTATTTTTCTTTCATTGCCTGGAGTAATTGCGTTAAATCAGAATTATGCAATTGATTTGTAAAATGCGATTATCTCGAAAACTATTGAGTTTTGAAGTTATTAACAAGTATAGCTTTTTTTTGTTAAAATAATGTATCTTTAATATTTTTTATCAAGAATACCGGTAATATGAAGAACAAAAAAGTTAAGTGTAAATGTATGCCACGTATGTGGCATATGTGGCGCCCTCTATTAGATATATTAAAGTATGCATCAAATTATAATTTCCGATATTCAATAGTACCCAGCTGTAAATTGTTATACATAAATGTTGACAAACATTAAAGTTATAGCCAAAAATAAAATTTTAAATTTCCACTTTAACACCCTGTATCTTTTTTCTCAGCAACATTTTATTAAGGTATATTTGGCCATATTTTGGTCCAGATAACCTGTCCTTAGTCTATGTCCCAATAGTTATGACTCACTCTGTATATCTTTCAGCTTATGGGTAAATATGTCGATTTTTATTATTTTCTTTAATAATTCTTTGGTATGTTTTCTGTCGTGTTTTTCTGATGCCTTCGAGCGAAATGTCGATCTAATGTTTATTGTTTCTTGAGTTCCTTCATAAAATTCAGGTTAAAACTTATTGGCGCCCATATTATTTTGCAGTTCAACTGTATTAAATATTTCTTATTTTTCTTTTGTCAAATATTACCTAATTATTATTGCTTGAAATAAAAATTCCAATTTGAGCAACGTGATGTTCTTTAAATTTTGGTAAACTTTTCGTTACAAGTTTGACTTGCTAGTATATTCTTGCAGCATTGCAAATTCTATGACCTAAATTGCTACGACTAATTGGTGTCATGTCCAAGAATAAAAATTGAGTAAGTACCAAAAAACATATTAAATTTAACTTTTAATACAAGCGTGATTACAATTAACTAACTAAGATCCTTTTAACTCTTGTTTATAATTTATTTTTGAAAAAACTCTTCTTAAAACACTAACTTAACAAATTAAAAACTAAATAAATGATCTCAGATTGAATGGACACTGAACTAAGAATTGAATAGACAGTGATGTTCTACATGGCACACAGAAACTACTTCTGGTATTCAAAATCTATCCTACATATCCCAAATGTTACTAATAAAATGTAAAATCAGTATTTTTGGGTTTAAGTTCAATAAGTAATATTAGATTTGGAACTAGATTTTATTATTCCATTCAAATCAACGTTTTAACAGTCGATCCTTGCCTTTGTCAGATTCAACACGTAAAGTAAGACACTAAGATTAATAAACTGAGAGTTCATACTGATGGAATTTTGTCTGATTTCCACCAATTTTTAGGGGGAAAGCTTATTAAATTCCTTTTTCCGTGCGTGTAAGTGCAGTACCAAATATTTTAGGACCATGGACTGTAAAAGAGTTTCCTTCGATATATGCAAGCAGACTTCACGGCGATGGTTCCTATGTGTTTGGTTTGATAGAGGTTGTACTTAAAAAAATAAAGCGTAATTAATCGAATATACACATTTAATAACTAGAATATTTACAAAAGCACTAATACTTATGAAAGAGTTCGCTTTAACGACGTCCATTATTATACCGGCGTTTTAGGGGCGCGCGAACTATCGAGGAAACAAATACACATTTCACTGCATTTTGGAGGCGAAGAGAGCTTAGTTACCGACGAGTACCTCACACTGCCGCAGAGCTTGAGACCCAAATCACATGTGCGATGGTTTTTGGCTTGTATTTTTATCTAAAAGTGTCGACATGCTGACATCCAATGGTTACAATCCAGGGCCCTTTTAAGGTAGGTATGCCACCGCGGGGGAAATGAAAAGGGTCTAAACGCCTTCTAATGCCTCCGGGTGCTCTGTAGAGGGCTTCGAAAACATCAACGATAGCTCCTCTACTTAAGTCCATTTTCAGGGTGTGGACTCGTAAATGTTTTCTTCTGGTATCTTGCCTTGAAAAAGGCAAGATATTTCTTACATGACAAAGGTTAAGTCAAAATAAAAATACCAGGTTGCAGTAGAATAACATCTCAGCCACAGAGTATGGATAAAGTTAAACAACAAGAGCAGAGCCCCGAGAGCACTAAGCTCTCGGAGAGCCCGTGAGGGACTGACTTGATTGACCTGAAAATCGCCTATTTTTATACTTTCTGAAGTAGTGATTAGGGATTTCCAGGTCAGGGAGGGGTCAACGGGAAAAATAAGGGGCGGGGCGATGCGTCTCGAACGTGAACTAGTCGCGTCCGAGAACAGTTACGACATAAATATTCCGCACGCAAAAAGTTGAGTCTTTGGCATATGATCCAAGCCAATATTTGTGAAAACAAAAAATTAAACTAAAATTAATATAAAATGTTGTTTTTACAACACATACCTTCTTGGCAAAAATTTTTTTTCTTCATTTATGTAGGCTTTTTCTTTGTTTTTCACTTACATTTCTAGCTGTTCTTTTCTCTTCTTTCTGAAAATTCTTTTAGCTTCTCTTCTTCTAGGGATATAGTTTTCGATCTTATGTTTGGTATTTCATTTGTATCCCTATACGTTTGCCCTGTTTCTTGTTACATTTTTACATTCTTCATCAAATCAGTCTTGACGTCTCTTTATATGCACTTGAGAAAATCAACCAAACCACTGTTGCCACTTGCAGGACCGGACCTCCTAATTTTACCTATTATATTTTAAAACGTGTTCTAACAAAATATTAAAAATGTTCATAGATAATACCCATTGTGTCACTTTTCTGTTTATATTGAAAGTCGCAAAATATACGAAGAAATAGCAAATACTGTATTGGAAGTTATTTAGTTTTCTTGTTTCCTAACCAAAAATTATGACTGCAATAATAATAAAAAGTGTTATTACCTGTTAGGTTCCAAGCTGCTATATATAAAAACGTTGTCCATGATGCTTTTTCTATCGAATAATGGCCCAATTCAACCAATTGTGTAAAAATTAGTCCGTAACACTGGTACAAAGAAGAGGTTAAAAGCTAAAATAATAAAATTAGGATCACTACGTTATGATAAAATAATTTTTGTGATATTCTTTGATGCTCCAGTCGCCAGAGACGAAAATGCCACTGAACCTCTAAAAATCATGCGAACAATCTGAATTTTATTGAGAATATCAATTTTGGGAACCCACAAAGGATGCAAAAGTTTACTGCTATTACCCTTCAGCTTAACCCTAAAATAAAAGGACTTTGTTTTTTGTTACTTGGTGAAAACTATTCACCAAGTGAAAATTATTCTTCTAATAATTTAATTTTATCTGACTCATTTATATTGACAATTCAGACACGTAATATACATTTTAAAGTAGAAAACTTTAAAATGATATTGCCAATACTGCTGAAATCCGTTCCTGGGACGACTTTCACTATCTTGAGAAAAGCTTCCCATTGTTCCATGAGCGTCAACTAAAACGCTCACAATTTATTGGAGCAGATATTCTGTTTCTTACTCATCGTTTGAGTTGGTCCCAAACATGCTCAATCGGGTTCAAATCTGGGCTTTGAGCCGGTCAATTCATTTTTGGCACACGACGGTTACCATGCTGGCTACGTATGGCCGCGCGTTGTCTTGCATAAAAATGAAGTTTTTGCCCATAAACTCGGCAAAAAGCATTACATGCTCGTTTAGAATATCGGTAATGTATCGGTAAGCATTCAACATTCCTCTATCAATAAACACGAGATCAGTACGGCCTTCGAATAAAATGCCTGCCCAAAAACATTACCGAGCCTCCTCCAAAAGCAACACGTGCTCGTCGAACACAAGCAGCATATTGTTTCCCACGTCTTCTGTACGTTTTGATGCGATCGTCTGAGACATAAAGAACCATCCTGGACTCATCACTAAACAAAACATTTTTCCAGTCTTCAATCGTCTAATGCTCATGGTCTCCAGCAAACTCGGCAAGTCGGCGTTGTCGAGGTGCTGCTGTTAACAAAAGTCCTGTTGCTGGACAGACCAAGTTCCCTTAACCTTCTTTTCACTGTAGAAGTGCTTAAAGGATGTCTTAGCTTTAGCTTCAAAACCTGACAAAGTTGTTCAATACGTCTCATCTTCATAATCCAGCCTCAAGAGTCCACTACTGAACATAGGCCTCTTCCTCATGTTTCCAACCCCGTCTATCTTGCGCCGCTCTTATCCAGTTTTTATCGAGTATTCTTAAATCGTCAGTCCATCTTGTAGGTGGTCGACCGACGCTTCTCTTGTCTTCCCTTGGCCTCCATTCCAATAACCTCTTTGTCCATCGCCCATCTGTCATTCTGGCTATATGTCCTGCCCATCTCCATTTTAGTCTGGCTATCTTCTCGATGATGTCAGTCACTCCGGTTCTTCTCATGATGTCTTCGTTTGTTATTCTGTCTCGGAGAGTTATTCCTAACATTGACCGCTCCATTCTTCTCTGCGTGACTCTCAGTTTAGTAGCTGCTGCTTTTGTTAAGGTAAGTGTTTCTGCTCCGTACGTCAAGACTGGGAGGACGCACTGATCAAATACCTTTCTCTTTAGGCATGTGGGCAGCCCACTTTTAAAAGTTTCTCTCAGTTTTCCAAATGCTGCCCACGCAAGGCCGACTCTTCTCTTCAGTTCATGAATCTGGTTATCTCTGCCAATCATAATTTCATGTCCCAGGTATTTATATCTTTCTACGAGTTCTATTTCTTTCCCACCAATACTGATGTTCTGGTTGGGCACCAAATTGGTCATGATTTTTGTTTCGAGATATTTATATTTAAACCTACATTTTCTGTAGCCACAACGAGTTCCTGTACCATCTCTCTTGCCATACCTAGATCTTCAGCTATTATAAGTATATCATCGGCGAAACGTAAGTTGTTTAGATATTTTCCATCTATTTTTATTCTCTTTGTCATCCAATCTAAATTCTTAAAAGCCTGTTCTAGCACCGTATTAAAAAGTTTAGGTGACATTGGGTGTCCTTGTCTAACCCCCCGTTCTATTTTTATGCAATTACTGTTAGTATGTAATTTGACAGTGGTTGTTGCCTGCAGGTATATTTTGTATAATAATTTAGTATATCTATAATCTAGCCTGCGTTCTTTAAGCGCCTGTAGTATTTTGCTTAGCTCAACTGTGTCAAAGGCTTTGTAAAAATCGATAAATATTAGAACTAGAGGTTTATTGTATTCCACTGCTTTCTCTATTAGGGTTTTTATACTTTGTAGATGGTCATTTGTTCCGTAACGTTTTCGGAATCCTGCCTGTTCCCTTGGTTGATAAGTCTCTAATTTTCTTTCCATTCTCTTAACTAGTATTCGCGTAAACAACTTATATATATGGCTGAGGAGGCTAATCGGTCTGTAATTCTCTAAATTTGCTATATTTGCTTTCAATACGTCTACAACCGGATTATTCTGAATAGCTGCAAACAAAGTTAGGTTACCCATATGATCGCCAACTTACTGAACGGATAGATGCCGTAAGAAGAAAGAAATTTTTTTGACCACTTAACATAAGTCATTTTTGTTTTTAATGAAAATCTGATTTTCGTGCCGTATTATTTTATTCTTTCTGATGATGAGTTAATTTGTATTATTATCTTTAAATAAAATTATTTTTGATATTATTTAAAGTGTTATTAATTTTATATGACAGAGTTCTAGATGAACTATTAACATGATGGAATTATATTTAATAAAAGAATAAATAAATATATCGTACAGTATTACCCAAAATAAACAGTACTGAAACTGAAACATAGATGCCTCTTTGTGCGCGCTGTCATATTCAAATTAACTAGTACAGACCTGCCAAGTAATCCTTAAACAATTAATTCTTCTTCTTTTTGTGCCACTCCTATGGGAGATTGGAAATCATCAAGGCTATTCTGACCTTGTTTACGGCTGACCTAAAGAGTTCATTAGTGGTGCAGCCAAACCACTCTCTCAAATTCCGCAACCATGACATTCTTCTACGGCCTGGATTCCGTTTTCCTTCTATTTTTCCCTGCATTATATTTTGAAGTAATGCGTATTTATGTCCTCTCATCAGGTGACCAAAATATTCGAGTTTTCTTCGCTTTAGCGTTAACAAAATCTCTGGGTCTTTTCCTATTCTTCGTATTATTTCACAGTTTGTTATTCTTTCAACCCAACTAATCTTCAGCATTCGACGGTAGCACCACATCTCGAATCTTTCAATATTTTTCATGTTGTTCTGTTTGAGAGTCCAGGCCTCTACACCGTATAATAGCGTGTTAAATACATAGCCTCTCAGCATTCTTAATCGTAGAGGGATGCTTATATTTCTGTTGCAGAAGAATTTTCTCATCTTTATGAAGGTGGCCCTGGCAATTTCGATACGTCTTTTTATTTCACTGTTTTGGTCTCCAGTTTCGTTTATTAAAGTTCCCAAGTATTTGTAGTTTGATACTTTTTCAACTTGAGTGCCGTTTATACTAATATACGCTGGTTGTGTCATGTTTTTACTGAAGACCATATACTTGGTTTTTTTAATATTGATATTTATACCATAATTGTTGCAAGCAATATTTATGTCTGTAAGTAATCTTTGTAATTCTTCTACTGTTCTTGCAACTAGTACAGTGTCGTCCGCGTATCGAATATTATTTACAATCTCTCCATTAATTACGATTCCTCCGTTTGCTTGTAAAAGGACTTCCTGACAGATGCTTTCACTATATACATTAAATAACAGAGGTGACAAAATGCAACCCTGTCGTACTCCTCTACGTATTTCTATTGCTTATGATGTTTCAGTTTCTATTTTGATGTTAGCTTTCTGATTCCAATATAGATTGGAATCAGAAAGCTCTCTAAGCTTATGATGGCGTACTCTGTCAAACGCTTTTTCAAAATTGATAAAACACGTATGTGCCTCCTGATTAACGTCTAGTCATCTTTGTGTGAGAACATTCAAACCGAAGAGAGCTTCTCGAGCACCAAGCCCTTTTCTGAACCCCATCTGTGTATTACTAATATCTGACTCCAACTTTTGATAAACTCGGTTGTGGATGATTTTTAGAAATATCTTTAGTAGGTGGCTCATTAAAGATATTGTTCGATGTTCTGAACATTCTTTAGCATTAGATTTCTTTGGCAGTGTAACGAAAGTAGACAACAGCCACTCTTGAGGTATAATGCCAGTATTGTATATTGTATTAAATAAGTGCAATATTATACCTATTGATTCATCATTCAAGAGCTTTAGCAATTCGGTAGGAACTTCATCCGGTCCATTTGCCTTCCCAGTTTTGGAATTTTTAAGTGCCATTTCTACTTCACATTTTAGAATTTCAGGTCCCGTTTCGCCATATATCAGAACAATGTTATTTCTGTTGTCCTCAAATAATTCTCTTATGTATTCACTCCATCTTAATTAAAACAATTAATTATTAAGGCCTAATTGTTAAAAATGGTATTAAGTGCATAGAAGAAACTGTTTCTTGTGGAGCATTATTTTCGCTCATACATAATCGGCCGACGTAATAGTGCAAGTCTGCAATACGCGTGTGATCAATTCACACAACGGTTTAATAAACGTTCTCCAAGTAATGTTGTAATTTGAAAGGTTGTTGAAAGGTTTAGAAATACGGGTAATGTTTTGTGCCAATGAAAAGGAAACTCAGGGCGCCCTGGACAGTTAACAACAACGATATCCATGAACGTGTTTTTGAGCGAATCTTGGAAAATCCGAAAGCCTGCCAGACAACAACAGCGTTGCATCTTGACTTAAAACGAACTTCCTTGCAAAGAATCCTGAAGGAGCTGGGTGCATTTTCGTATTTGATTCAGGTACATCAACAATTACATCCCAGGGATTATCACAGTAGAGTGGAATACTGTGCCAGAATTCTTGCATTACATTATGAAAATCCTGAATTTTTAAAAAATGTATGGTTTTCAGACAAAGCACCTTTTCATGCCATGTAAATCGTCGCACAAATGGATGCCAGTAGAGCCTTACAAAATAATTATAAGTTTAGTACTGTTTATTTTGGGCTATACTGTACATCTAACAGGAAAAACAAAACATTTAAATACAAAAGCACACTTCTAAGGTCGCAGCAGATATGATAATATCTGAAGGCTAACGCATAAGATTGAGATTAAGGACTGCGTAAAAAGATGTAAAATTTTAACAAATGTTCTCTGTTTTTAAACAATTGTATAAAGGGGAAAAACTGATCATAATAAGACATTATACTTTGATGTAATTAAATAAATATTCCACAATTTGAAGTACAATGGCATTATCTTTGTTGATTTGGTCAGATAAGTATTTATACAAATAAAACTTACGTCAAAAATAGAAATGGTTATCTTACCTCTATTAGTCCTATCCCGATCTTCGTGACAAATTTTTCCTTTCTGTTTTTGCTGTTGTTAATATCTTCCGCGTTGTTCGTAAAAGTAGACGAAACTATTTCCGATAAAGTGACACTTCTATGCATCTCGTTTTTCTCGAACTCCGATCATTTATTAAAAAAATGACATTTTTTTCTTAAACTTCCACATAGGTGATTATTATTAAAGGTTTTAGACGCAGCATGATCAATCGCTATACTGTACACTTATCTCTTATCTCTTTGATTACACATTATCAGGAAAATAATTTGTTTATGAATTACGACTATGATTCTGTTTCATTATGTTTACTGGGTTCCTCTGTATCAGCACGAAGCTCTACTGATATGGAAACATGTGGAATACATTCATGATTTTGTTTTAAACATTCATTAATATTTACAAAATGTTATCTCGATGTATAACCAACGAAGTCATCTAGTCTAGATACGCATGACCTTTTTACTACGGGCGATGTATAATAAATAGTATAAGTCATCTCAAAACTAATAAAATCTATATCTAACTAAAAGTAGCTAGAAAATTTGAATTACATAATTGTTCTTATAACCGCACACATTGTCTAAGAAATCTTAGTATAGAGAAGAAAATATTATTATGATTGTCTTTAATATTATTTACGGTGTATAAAACTAATGCTATACATATTACCTTCCTTCATATGTATGCTGTAGACTTAGAATATTGCAGACCACTTTATCTTGTCAGGTTTGTCAGTGGCGAAAGATAATGAGGTACGACGCTTTCCACAGATGGAAGCACAAAAGACCCAAACAACAAATAGTAGAATAAAATCATAATACTAGAGAGAAAATAAAAAATCACACCAGAAAGAAAACAAAACACCAGAGAGAAAACATTTCAAAAAACAACAACAATGCACAATGAAGATAGTTCGTAGCTCATAACACTCATGGACAATCGCAACGTACAGCGTGGACCCAGTTAATTTTAAGTAGATAATTAATATATTAATATGCACTAATTTTTATTTTATGTTTCAGGCATCCTACAAACAAAAATCCAAAAAACACACAAAAAACGGCTTCGGCCGCCAAAAAAAATCAAAAAACTACTAACAAAAACTGTTGCAAGCCACAAAAAATATTAACAAAAACCGGCACATAGGGCCCAACCCCTTGAGCACCAAGTCGTCGAACTGAGCCTAGCACAGAGTGGAAACTTGAGGCCCAAGTAAGCAATTTTAGTTCGCGGATAAGCCACATTGAGATAACAGGAATATAGCAACAATGCGCTGTCCAGAGTTTTGAATTCGGTTAGGAAACCATGTTGGGCTTCTATTACCCAGAACCTTAATATGAAGGCATTTGGCTAATAGTTGTGCCCCTATCGCGCATCAGAGTGCTATAGGGGGGAAAGGGATGGTCTGGAGCATTGGAGCTCGGTGGAGTGACTCCTGATTTTACCCGAGTCCAATGAATGGTTACCTCGCTCCAATGAATTGTTACACCCGAACGTAATTCTTAGTGGTGAACATTTCTCACAGGTTGGGTTTAATTAAATTGCTTGCTTGCTTGCTTTGGTTTGTCAGTGTTTGACTTACTTCAGTGTCACTGCCAACTTATTCTTCTGTTGTTTTTGTTTGGATTATATACAATTTTGTTTTAACCTTATCATATAGGTTTTGCTTTTTTATTTCAATTTATTGAACATAAAAGTATCTAAGACCCTAGAGGTTCAACGGGTATCCATCTGTAAAATCAACAGCAAAGGAATGAGTGTTAAGTATAGGTTGGTACAATAGTACCAACTATAAACATACATACAAACATACTTTAATAAACGAAACTGGAGACCAAAACAATGAAATAAAAAGACGTATCGAAATTGCCAGGGCCACCTTCATAAAGATGAGAAAATTCTTCTGCAAAGAAATATAAGCATCCCTCTACGATTAAGAATGCTGAGAGGCTATGTATTTAACACGCTATTATACGGTGTAGAGACCTGGACTCTCAAACAGAACAACATAAAAAATATTGAAAGTTTCGAGATGTGGTGCTACCGTCGAATGCTGAAGATTAGTTGGGTTGAAAAAATAACAAACTGTGAAGTAATACGAAGAATAGGAAAACCCAGAGATTTTGTTAACGCTAAAGCGAAGAAAACTCGAGTATTTTGGTCACCTGATGAGGGGACATAAATACGCATTATTTCAAAATATAATGCAGGGAAAAATAGAAGGAAAACGGAATCCAGGCCGTAGAAGAATGTCATGGTTGCGGAATTTGAGAGAGTGGTTTGGCTGCACCACTAATGAACTCTTTAGGTCAGCCGTAAACAAGGTCAGAAAAGCCTTGATGATTTCCAATCTCCGATAGGAGTGGCACAAAAAGAAGAAGAAGGTTCAATAGTATAGGTTGGATACAGTGTACTTAGGGCTTACGTCAAATTCAACGACTTGTACCAATAGAGAGTTTAACATTAACTTTGGAAGAAACTTACAATATAGCTATTTTGATGGATAGTTCAACTGCCAGGTTTATGCAAATAAAAATCCAACACTCAGTTACTCTACCTGGTAACTATCAATTCGAGTCACAGAGTGTTCCAACGAATTTCGAAAGTGTCATTGTGACAGCTGCTAGCAACTCTGCTGTCAACTCTTTTAGATCAGGACACAAATGTTTTCTCTGCGGTGGTTCGACACATCCAAGGAAGAACCGTCCTCCTCATGAACCTTTCTGCAAATCTTGTAATAAAAAGGGTATATTCGCAAAGGTTTGCCGTTCCAAGAATACTAAATGCGCCTTTGAAGGGTACGATCACTGCATAACCTGCTTTATTACTGCTACTCCAGCTTCATTAAAAAGAGCTATAGTACCCGCGTTTATAAAAGGCCTTCCTGCTGATGCTTTTATAGATACTGGTAGCTACGTCAGTTTTGTTAATGAGTACTTGGCTAACCTGTGCAAACTTTCAGGAAGCATTATTATCACATACGTCTTAAGTCAAAGTTGTGACTACTCAGAATTATAAAATTCTTGACCACTTCCATGACAACATTAATTTAATTATATTTAAAAATATTTGTGCTGATATATATTATATTTAAATATATGTCATATTTAAACACTTAAGTCTAGAGTTTAAATTTGAAGAACCTAAAGAAGTATTCAAGATATATAGTGTAGTTGAAGCCTCAATTCCTATTGTTCCTTTCTGGTAAAGAAGCTTTTGATAGCATTTTTGAAGAAATTAAATTCTCTTGGAGATCGCAAGATCTCCATAACAATGAATTGTCATTGATTATTCTCAGACAATTAATCGCTTTACTCAGTTTAATGCCTTTTCACTACTAAATATCGAGGAAATGATGTCTAAAGTATCACAATTCACTGTTTTTATTGCAATAGATTTCCAAAGTGCATACCATCAGATTCCTATACTACCACATGAAAAGCTGTACGCAGCCTTCGTAGACGCTGAGAAACTGTACCAATTTTGTCGTATTCTGTATAATAAACTTACTAAATGATATCCATGTCGACATTTGATGAACTAAAAATTGCATTCCGGTTTTGAGGTCGACTTCCGGTTTCGTTTTTATTAAAAAGTAAAAGTTACATAACTCCCGGTGCCAAGCAAAAGTTTTCAGAAAATGGAGCCATTGTAAAAAAAACATTGAAACACTTATATTGTTTGTATTGATCTCACTTCATTTAAAAAACTCGATGTCGAGTTGGTCCGCTAGTTATAAACTAATATAATTGATGGAATGTAATAGATGGAAATCTTTTGTAGCTTATTATAAAATCAAATTAGATGTTTGTGGGCTTAACTAATTTAACAAATTATTTATATTTAAATGTTAAAAACTAATGTAGGGGAGCAGAGGCTATTGCCGTACGGAGTCCAATACCGTATGCAGCTTTTTACGAAAACTAAGCATTAGAATTATATCTTTTCTTGTCCAACGGGTGACTACACAAGGAGTGGCGCACCCAGGGGGAGTTTTGGGGGTTAAACCCTATCCCCCAGGACCCTATTCCGACACTGTTATTTACAAATTTTAAAGACTTAAAATGGTGGAGGTAGCATAAAAAAATTTCGGTGCTCAACCAACCCCCCCCCCCAAGAAAAATTCTAGGTGCGCTACTGTACACAAGCATGCCCATCGAGCAATAAGACAAAAGAGGGAATCTAATCCTTATGAAAAGGAGACCAAAAAAGTGGCCTCTGATGGCGGACATATCCGGAAATGCGAATGCGCGAAATTTAAATTTTCCGACACTTATCAACAGTAGCTATATAATATTTTTCAGAATGTGTCTTAGACGAGAAAGTTTTAATTAATTATTAATGATAAGTGTCTAAAATGCGACACAATTGTTAAAAAACTTCAATATAAGTAAGATTTCATGTGACATTTGGGATAAACAATAACATAACCCAACTAAATTTGATGTCAAACAAGGAGAGAGACTCTCTTTCCTTGTTTAAAGTGGCCTCTAAAGATCGCACTTCCTGTCTAACAATATGTTTGCCCCCACTACCTTTACATTCCCTCTATTGTCTTTTTGCTCGATGAGCATAGCATGCCCACGATACACTTATACCGGTATGCCGACGAGCATTTTCAGTGACGTCACATCGATGCAAATCCTAAATCCTACCACATCCTACGTTATTTAATGTTGGTTAGGTTGAGTGTTTTTATTTTTAATTTATCCCATTGTGGATTTACTAATTTACAATTTTTAAATCAAATACAGTTGTAAATGAAACGGCGATATTGAGATACAAAAATACTTTTGAAAGAATTTTAAAAATGAAATTAAAAAAAAACTCAATGTTATTGGAATTTAAGAATATTTATTTTAATATAGAAAGCACTTTAACAGAATAATGTTTTAATACTAAATACTACGTATTTATTTATTTTTTTTACGGTTTGTAAATTTTAACATTTTTATTTCCAGTTTTCTTTTACAATTTTCAAAACTAATTTGCTTATTAATTTCTCGCAATCTTATGTAGCTTCTGGTACGACTAAGGCAATAAATGACTTCATAAGGTATATTTACTTCATTACCAAGCTTGACAACAGTACGGTCAGCTATCAATGAAAATATTTTTTTCTCTTTAGAAAGTGACGTTCCATGCATTAAATTGAACTCTGTTTCCAGTACTTCTGCAGTTTTCATTAAATCATCACTCGGATTTAAAAGGCCACCTCTTGAAATACAAGTTAACCATTCATTGGACTTGTTTGTTGTGACCAACTCGCAGATAGAGCCTAAGTATTTATATTTATTTTTAAACTTATAAGCAACATATCCTGCAATATATTTTAGAGC